TTTGACACCACACACAGTCACACAGAAACTTTTACGGGTAGATCGAAATTTGGGAAGTGTAAAATGTCCAAGACCTCTTAGATTATAGTTTTTTTCTTTAGGCACAAAATATGTTTGTATGTTATGAGGTAACAATTTGTGAAATGCCTTGAATAACATGATGGCGGTGTTAAATTTTACAAGGTCTGGGAATTTTAGTATTTTAGATTTAAGAAAAAGTATTTTTCTTTGCATAACCGAAAATCATTGCCTTTGTTTTATTTAGGTTCAGGGACAGTTTGTTGGCATCCATCCATGTTTTTATTTTGGTCAGTTCAACATCCACAGTATCAATAAGTTGTTTGCAGTCAGGACTACTACAAAAAATGCTAGTGTCATCCGCAAAAATAACTAGTTTTAGTGACTGCGATACTTCGAATATGTCATTGATATAGAGGTTAAACAGCATGGGACCCAACACTGACCCCTGGGGGACACCACAAGTAATGCCAAGATTTTCAGAGACATGATCCCCCATGTGAACAAACTGTACTCTACCAGTTAAATAATCACAGAGCCATTCTCCAGCGACACCCCTGATACCATATTTTTGTAATTTATCCAGCAGCATTGAGTGATTTATTGTATCAAAGGCTTTTTTTAAGTCGATAAAGATTCCTATAGTGTGTAATTTCCTCACTTTGAATGAAAATACATGGAAAAAGTAAAATGTGCCCGAATAAAATTCATATAGTAAACATGACAACTTAATTTGACTGAAAATGCATGAATTACTCCATCAACCAATTTCAGCAACAATTCAGGTACCTATGAGTTCTCCAGATTTCACACAAAAATGTTGCTGTCTCAGCTTCCACCAATTAAATGCAACTCACCCCAACGATGCAAACAGTATAATGACACCCATTTCTAAACTTTGTTCTTGATGGATTTGGACATCAAAGTTAGTGTATGTTTTTCCATTTATTTTAACAAGCTGAAACTCCTCTTTTATGCCAATAGTGAGAAACCATTAGCAAGGGACACATTTCAGACAGAGGAACAGACAGGGAACCATTTTGAGATTGGATATGTATGAAGCTTAGGGTCCCGGCGGAGATGGTTCAACCTTCTCCTCCAGTTCAAACCAGGCTCTCCCTGCGCTTGATTAACTTTGTGATCCAATAAGTGGCTTCATCCCCAGAGCAGGAAAAGTGCCCTCCGGCCTGGCCCCAAAGGATTGTGGGAATCCCTACGACATCATCAAAGGGCTCACAAGGTGAACCACTGTCAGTGACTTCTACAGATAAAGGAAGTTGGAGAAACTAATGCATCCTTCACCCACAAAAAACATGACCTATATATGAATCCAAGAAGAAAGCAAAGTAACATTTGCAAGGGACTTTTCTGTCTTTTAATGTCAAAGAAAACTTGAGCAAAAACTAAAATAAATGAACCCCTAACATGCAGAAGAAGCAAGGATCAAAAGAAGATCAGTGCAATTTGAACTAGAAAAGCACTCATAAAAAGACGCAATTCCATTCCTTAAAAAAATCCAGGGTCCATGCACTCCTTCACAATTATTCGATGTTTTACAAAATATTACCCGTAACTTTTTGGGTCATGTTGCATAATAGCTGATTAACAATCAAACCACCATTATATATACAATGACATGACAATGGATAATTTTATATATATATACATATAGATAGATAAAAAAAAATCCTCCATCTTTTCATTGGCTTTTTGCCACTTGAGTAGACGCTTCATACTTCCCTGTCCACACACACTACCTCCAGCTCAGGCAGCCCCAGAGCAGCTGAGGCACATAATGCATCGTGTCTCTTCAAAAACAGTAGATGTGGATTTGTCCAATTTGTTTTACCAAAACAATGAAGCAAGTTATGTTTCGAGGTGTACTGTATTTATTGTAAATTCTCTCTAAATGATAGAGAATAGAATACTGAATATACAACTCAATTATCTTGTTTTTTTCCCAAATTAGCAGACCACTTGGTTCCAACTCATTTTAATGCAGTGTTTGAATTTCCCTTCTTGTTATGAAGCTGTTGAAAATGAGCCAAATGGTAAGTGATTTTCATTTCAGTTGTATATATTACGCACACCAATCTTTGCTAAATTTAATCACAACAATTACATCTGATCTTCAGCATTGCAAAGTAAATCTCTGCGATCATCTGCTGTCACGTTTACGATATTCACATTTTTCAACCGACAGCAGTCGGCTTGTTTGTGCATTCCCAGCAGAAATCACTGACTTCATCGAGAGTTTTCATCACATTGGACCCAGTTCTAGGACTTCTCCACAAACCAGAGCAAGGTGTGAATGTGGCATGAAATGAGGTTCGGGAAGCGGGGCCAATTGGTACTTAATTAATGCCGGCCAGGACTGCAGGGCCCCCAACTCATCTGCCGCATGTCTCATCCAATATTCATGATTTACAAGCAGGCAACTCGCCATCGCAAACTTTCCATGCAATGGATGGTCTGTAATGTGTGTGCCAACATGTGCTCCATCCAATGCATAAGATGAAAATAAATAGCACCAAGCATAAAGTCGTCCTCTCCACCTGTATTAAGATAGAGATTTGTCATAGAAGGCCTTAATAATTTTATTTTAAATATTTATGAGAAATGGCTAAACAGTTTGTGGTGTTTTGGTGGGGCAGGCGGCAGAGGACACCTTCCTTTTAAGCCCTCTTGTTTTATTAATGACTGCGAACTGGAGATGAATCTTTGCTACCTGAAAGAAAATTGGATTGTACCAACTGTCCCTATGAGATCAAATCTCCTTGAAATGTTTGCCTTTGTTTTAAAGAAAATGCATGACATGTCTGACTCAAAGTAAAAAAGAAGAAAAATGGTTGGTTTGTGAAAGGATAATGTGAACTTTTGAATAGAATACATTTTTACTGTGATTTCAAGTGTTTTTTTAGTACCTTGAACTTTGGTTTGTCTATTGCAGAATAACTCTTTCCAAATGCTGCATCAAGTAATGAACTTTAAATTCAATAAATAAGTGAAAAATAAACAGGGAATGTTGAAGTGTGAATAATCATTTCATCAATGTGTTTGTGAAACTAAACTATTAGACACATTCAAAACTAATTTGTTACGATTTTTAACCAATCCTTATTTAATTTTTGGAGATGGCCAGAATGATTGGACAATTATCAGGTTAAAGTCGGTTTGATTTCTTATTTTAAATATAGAAGTGAAGCAAAATAATTATGCTTCTGCGACAAAAGCTGAAAGCTAATGAATTCATCAGATTTCCTCAGATGCAGAACTTATGGATAAATACATGTTTATTCTTCAAATCTATTCTGCGTATTTTTTGATGCGCCCACAAAGAAGAAAGGCCACAGAGGTGAAGCTACGGAGACCTCAGTTGTAGCATCTATTCATCACTCAGACTTTTCTTCAATCTCATTAAAAGTCAAATCAATGCAATGATTTATAGTCAAATGTTGACTTTGTGAGGTTGTCTGTCCTCTAACTTGCATTGGCAGCACTAAAACCTGTTCCAAAAACTCTATATATTAACGATGTGAGTGAGGTTTTGTTTCGCAAAGGCCTTATACTGTCACATAGCAACAGGCCAATGACATTCTGTGATGGGTGGAGAGCAACTCTTATATCCCCATTGAGATTTCCATGAATTAAAGGGCTTACAAATGTCTATTAGGAAAAAAAACAAATCATCAAGCACTCTAGGGTAAGTAATAATGCATGAAGCAATGTGTCTGAATAAATATGTAGGATTCGGCTTGACCTTTAGTTATGTGCATCGCAACAAATCCTCTTTTATTTATACCGGATATACGCACAATTATTTATGGTTTGAATTGACTCAAAGGCTGCAGACACATTTTCATCTGTTTTCCAACAAACTCCAACACTCATTCTTCAACACACAAGAAAGTTCAGAAGTTCACATTTGTTAGTGCATCTTCTATCACTGCACCCTTCTGGGACGGCTTCTCATTCACGCATACTTTAAAACTCCCATATTGTTGCCAGTTCAAAAGAACAACAGGCTAACTCCCAAGATGAAACACCTCATCCATATTCCAGACATTCCAAGTTGTGACACAGCCATGGCGCATAGGCTTGACGTTGATTAATTATGCAAGAGTACTCAAACAGAAACATGGAGTGGAATGTTTCTGTCTCAAAGTCTCAAGGTATGAAAACCGTCTGCTTTCTCCCAGCAGTAACTGAAGTATTCCTGCAGCTCTGCCTCTGCTGCTTAGTGGTCATTTAATTGAGAAAGTTTTATAGTACACACTTAAATATCAAATAGGCCTAAATAATATAGCGACTTCTGTGATAAAAACAAACAGTCAGGTGATTGCATTGAAAGGGAATGCCCCAGAGCCAAAGCAACATCAGCCTCATGCTTTGGGGCGTACAGACAGTGGAAATAGTGACCTGACCTGACCTGGGTCCCATCTCTTTAGAAGGGGGCAAGTTGTAGGCCGTTAAGATTTCAGATATATAAAGTAAAGTAAATTAATAAAAATCTCAGACTGAAGAAGAAAATGAGCAAAACCTGGAAAAATCTGTAGTCTTGACCCCGCCTCGTGTCCCGCCCTCTTTACACCTCCAGTTCACCATATACTGTATATAAGGACATGGGGAACTAGGGGTAATTTACATAAATATGAGATTTATATACATATGCGGTGGTAGTGAGTGAGTTTGATGGACACATAGAGGGAGGTGCTCAGTTTGAGACAGCGGACACAGAAGAAAGTATCTTCTCCTGACATTTAAACAACAGCCCTAGATGTTTATATCCTCCCTCTCTGCTCTGGTCGCCTTGGAGACTTGTCTCTGAAGTTTGCGTGGCGGTCACTATGTCACGTCAAGTCATTCTTTTATAGATCACAGACAGTGAAATAATACCTACGCACTTTCTGGTTCTGAGTTGTATGTACATAAGCGTTATAAGACCCTGGGGCTGAGCTTGAGACCTAGTGGAATAACAGGACATGGACGTGGTGCGCATGCCACTGTCAGCCACCGGTCATGAGATGTGTTTGGCCAGCGGTGGTAGAGTGTGTCTCAGATCAGCTCTAGTATCAGACATCACACAGTTTGACGAACCAAAGAACAGAGGTGAAATGCCGCTCCTTTGTGGAATATAAAGCCAAAGTGAACTTTTCTGTTGATGCCACTGTTTCCGAGTGTGACTTTGTGATTCATATCTAAATATTGGTGAATAAATTACAGCAGCTTTGTACGGAAAAAGGTAAAAGTAAGTTCATAAGAGAACATGGCATGCATTACTTCTTCCCTTTTTTGCCCATATACTTGTTCATTCAGTCATGGGCAAAAACTTTGTGCATGTGCCGTGTGAGATTAGCTTTATTCCAATGTCAGGGAAAGCGCTTCATTTTGCATGTGTGCAAACCTTTGCTACATTTACCCCTAACTGCAGTTCTTCAAAAAACAATAAACTTAGTGGGATTGCTAATGCTTCATTCTGGCGCATTAGGTCGGTTAGTTAAAGTAAAATATTTTGATTTGAATTCAAATTCTTTGATCACCAAATCAAAGTTGGGGGGTCTAAATGCAAGAAGACGAAGATGACTTTACTACTTGCTGTTTCTCAGACAATCCAGTGATCTGAATTGCTGCACAGGGGCACACGGACATAAAACCATCCCCCTCAAGCAGCATTGGGCTAAGTTGATTAATTATGCAGTACTTTGCAGACAGTACCACGGAGCATCTTCTTCGGAGCCTCGCAGTCAGAACGGTGTCTGCTCTGCGGCTCCCAGCAGGCCCCGGTGTCAGCCTGTGGACAGCCCGCGTGATAATGGATCGCTCTAATGGTCAAGCCTGGACCGCACATTAGGACATCCGCTCGATGCTCTGTATTGCACACAGGAAGCTCTGCCAGCAATCAATGCGTAGGCTAATGTGCGAAGAGGAGTAAGTTGAATGTCAGTGCAGCTGATCAATAACTATTCATTTTCGCCAACCACATTTCCACAAATAGGACACTTAATATTGCGAGATTGGATAATTACCATGCCCAATTAAGGCCCTGTGACACTAAGCAATGGATGGGCTAGGTGGAATAGATGGAAAACACAAGGTGCTAATGGAGACACATGCCAGACTCTGATCGACAGACGGCAGATAGATGGTGATGTCTCCAAACTGTAGGACGCTAGCTGAACCGGAGGAGCACGATAATCCTCCACACGTAATGGATGTCCTCTTGCTGCCTGTTCTGAGAGGATACAGGGATTCAAGCAGGCAGGCACACTCTGCTTTGTTACAGAAATCTTTAAGCTGTTTTAAATGGTTGCCACTTTACAAAATGTTATTATCAAATGCATTTAATCAATCAACACTGAGCCCTGTTATACAGCTCTATATAAATATGTACTGTGGAAAAAGATTGGAAATTGTACATCTTACTGGAAAATTATTAAGGTTATTGAATGTATTTATTTCAAATTGTTTAAGTAATAACATGCACACATATGTATAAAATCAACAAACAAACAGACATCAAGTCCTCTTTTGCTTGTGATCTACCCAAAGGTGAGTTGGAAGCATATGCATGTATTTTGTTTTTTAAACCCATTTTTAAGATATTTTGTGATTTATAAAGTAATGAAAAAGGAAAAAACACAATGAACACCTTTAATGTTATGAAGATGTTCTAAGCAGCATAATCAAATTAAAATGATATGTTTTTAAGTCTGAAGTATATTTCTAAGACAAATAAAAGTTTGCTTGACAGAGAGAATGTGGACTGCAGTGAAGAGCTGGTAATGAGACAAAAAATATATTTGCTCCATTGAGCTCCGTAAACAGGTGGGAGGGGTTAACTCATTTTGCAGATTGGAATTGGATCTGAGTTTGCCGTAACGTATGTGATACGCCTGAGTGAGTGGGGCATTTAGCCTAGCTTTAGCATTTAGCCACTAACAGAGCCTGTGTGGCTAAAACATCTTTGCCAGCAATTACATTTGCTAAGAATCCCTCTTGCTCCGGTTTCAATGTATTGATATTTGGGAGCCGAATCAGAACAGATTACTTTACGCCTTTGTGTCAACAGAGCTGGTAAGCTCTCTGGGAATTCAAGTTTAAAATACATATGCGCATGACCACGGGATACATGCTGTGGTTTGCTGAACTCAAAGGGGATTCCGCATCCTCCGTGACCGTAGCGTTCTGACCCGGGGCAGCTGTGGCTGCTCTGGACAGCGGTTCCCACCCCCAGCAGCTATGAGCTGCTTTGACAACCACACGGCTAACGGCGCTGCCGTAACGTCATATCCAAGACCATACACGCACAGGACCACACGGAACTATTCTTTGCTTGTTGTGTGTGTCTTTGCAAAACCTGTACATGCAATAAATACACAGCTGAAGCTGGACTATGGAGCCTCAGGAAGTGTCTGTGTCTCCTCCCGAAGCGCAACTAAACTCGCTAAATTAAAGCTGGCTTATATGTTTAACACTGTTTAATGCCGATAGAACATTGGAATTTGTGGGTTAAATGGTTACTTATGTCAATTAGCTCTATTGAAGTCCATATCCTCTTCATTCAAAAAAGATAAAAATTACGTTACAAAATAAGTCACCGCAATAATTTAGTCATGAGATTTTTGCATAGCAGAGGGTCAGAGCATTAGAGTTGGAGAAGTCCCACCTCAGTCCGATAGCCCTTGGTCAAACTGCAGCCCTATCAGTATTTGTACTTGCTGATAAAGTCCAGAATATTTTCAATCGCACGCAAACTACACAACGCTGCACGTTTCCTCCCGCTTCAGGGAACACACGACATTCTGACAGAGAAGAAATGTGTGAGAGCATTTTCAGCCTTTTTATAGAAATCCTCAGAGGTCTACAAAGCTTAATGTCAAACTCAACATATCTAGCGTAAACATTCTCCAGAAGCTCAGCGACACTGTATGATTTATGACTTAATCATCAACAACATGTTATTTTGAATGTGTGACACTGTAAATTAAGCTATTTTTATTTAAGTTCAAGCAACCTGAAAGCAAAACAAGTTGTAGTTTAGATTCTACTTTGACAGTGTGCGAATCCAGGTATAAAGCAGTTCTGTTCCACTGTGATCACAGCTGAAGGATTGCATTTTCACTATTTTATATTTATATTATATCAGTGTGATTCTAATGTTGATGTTTTTTAATGCCCTCAAAATTGCAGACTGCTCTGAAGTGAAGACGATTACAATTGATGTGGACAACCCAATTTGGAACGGTGAAATAGACGCAATAAAAGTCTCTGAATGGACAATGGCCCCAACTATGGTTTTAGACCTTTATCACAATTGAATATAGCATAAGATGTGTGCCTTCAGAATATTGCATAATATTTGGGGCATTATTATAATACCATTAAACAATGGTTCAAATTAAATGTTTAGATTGAGCTAAAACTATGTCATAGAAGAAACCAGCTGTGTAGCTCCACCTTCAGCCCCCTTCAGTGTCAGGAGATTCAAAAAGAAAATTGTCAAAAAAATGCAGCTAAACCCAGGGGAGGGGCTTGGTGTGGTGGTCAGAGGACTGAGGGGAGGGTCATATACGCCAGCCGTCATGCCGTCTCCACTTTTGGATAAAATGCGTATCTTCTGCCTGCTCTAGAGAGGGACCTCCAGCTGAAACATTCTAGTTCTCCTCATGCACGCTCTGTTTACGGGCCACTGATGGCATCACTCACACAAGCTCATTTTGCACTTTTTCACTATAAAAGACAATGTAGACGTGAAGGGATATAAAATGGATTTCTCAAAATAAACTTTACTTGTCGAGTAGAAGTTTTGCGACTGAAAGATCGGTGTGAAGGGCTATCATCGCACTCTACCATGTGAAAGAACCTCAACCATTAGGAGGACAAATTTACCTTTAAGTCTATACCCTTTAAATTAGAGCTCACAATAACTGACTGAGCTATGGCCTATCTTTCAATAAGACATTTCTATCCTCATTACCAGCTTTTCACAGAGTTCACATTCATTCTGTCAAGCAAACTTTTATTTATCTTAGAAATATACTTCAGACTTAGAAATACGGAATTTTAATTTGAGGATGTTGATTGGTCGTATTTTTTTTTTATTACTAACTTTATTAATCATGAAATAGCTACATAAAAATGGTTTCAAAAGACAGAATACATGCAGACCATGTAGCCACATTGTCTCGGCATTCGGCTTTAGAAAATGGTTGGACAGAAAAATATTCTGTCCTTGAATGACTGGAGAATGTCGTTTCCCAGGATGTAGAAATTCAACAAAAAGTTCTCAGTTAATTGAAGAGATATAAAGAAATGCCATTGATGTAAGTTTGCGACTGCTCTGGTTTTGGCATCTTTCAGTCAATGCAGTTCAAGGGAAAATGAGGTCCCTCCTGGTTTCAACTGCTCGATATGAACTATAGCTACAGGCGCGTTTCTCTGGTGTTTGTAGAGGTACCAGATGTGTGGTGCCAAAGAAGGGGAAGCAATTAAAAAGATTTCAAAAATGAATTCTAAAACTGCATGATAGAGAACATAATCCCAAACATCTAAATGTGATTCTACTAATGATTTCTATTAGTACCAAAATATTCCAAAATTCAAAAGCGATTCATCTCATTATGCACAGGATCCTTTCCCTGAGATGATCCTTCCAAGTTTATACATTAGTGCTGTCCAAAATATGTTTGTGTAGTTGAAGTATAATAGATAAGCAAGAAGGTCCTGGGTTCGAATCCCGGCCGGACCAGGGCCTTTCTGAGTGGAGTTTGCATGTTCTCCCCGTGTCTGCGTAGGTTTCCTCCGGGTACTCCGGTTTCCCCTACCACTAAAAACATGCACAATAGGTCTGGCATGCGCCTCCTGTACTGGCGACCCCGCTCCCATCTCTGTGTGGAGGGAGAGACAAAAGCCCAAAAATAATAACAATTGTAAACCGCTTTGTGACTCTGGTCTGTGAAAGGCGGTATATAAATAAAGATTACTTACTTACTTCGATGGTAAATTGAGAGCTGTGTCGTACTGGCAAAGCTCTCAATTTACCATCTACGTTCCTTTCCTCTCTCAAAAAGTTGCATTTGGCTTCATCACTGCACACGCTGCATGATCCGTCTGTCAGTCTCAAAAATGTAAAAATTTTTGTGCATTAATTATGACGTATCATTTATAAATTGCGGTATTTTAAGGTGTTCGTTTGTAATTATGTTGGTCTCTTCCAATATATTGCATAAAGAAATTTTAGCCTTGGCTTTAACATTTGCCAATTTGCTCATACAGTCATAAATATCTTGCGTTTTGGCCTCAGGCTTTGTTTTCAGAGTTAATTTAAGGCATAGGGTATTTCAATTTTCAAATTTTTTTTTGCGTGTGAAAATTGTAGAAATAGCAATAAGTAAAAGAGAAGCCTAGCATAATTCTGATATTGATGGCACCAATAAATCATGGTTTGGTTCAACTGGGTAAAAAGCAACAGATAGTGTGCATACAATACTTGCTCAATTTTTATTTATGGCCGCTGTTTATCACTGCTGCTGAACCACGGCTGCATCGCCATCGACTATGCATGCGGTTAAATAAAATATGAAGCTTGTGGATTTATTCTGAAACTTACCTTCAAAACATATGACCTGAGAGCACTCTATAAACGAGAACATAGCATTCTGCATTCCAATTAACATTTTATACTTTAACCTGTAATTCACACATGTATAATTATTGTGATTCAACTTCATAATCTTTCACAGTTTAAGTAATATTTGACGCAAGAATAGTTTTGCCTGTAACATATGTACTTTAATTTTCCACACTTGAC